CAAGCCGTTGTAGCTAGCAATCGTATATATATGTATATAGCTTTTGAAAGACACGGCTGAACACTATATCGCTGTAAGCTATGTATTTCTTAACGACAACAACAACGTGAAAACGTTCACTGCCAAATTGTGATAAATGTGAGAGATCCCACCTAGCCAGGAGCGTTTTCTTGACTTCTGATCGCATTGACCAATCGTTTTCGCGCCCCATCCACTCTCCTGTTTTCCACAATCTTCCCCATTACAAGAGTTCACTCCCTCGTGTAATCATAATAATAATATAATAATAATAAATAGTTACCGCGCATCCAATCCGATCATAGTCATCTATTTTTCCTTAAATAAAGCTAGACTAATCTAGACGAGGAGGAACGAAGAAGTTAGTCTCGACCAATGCAGCTAGAAACGAAGGAAACCGCTCTCCCCTATTTTAAACGCCACGATTATGGCCGTATTTTAAAGCGACAGAAAGATATTGTAGAGCGAAGCGATATTTTTAAACGGGGCACGTTTTACCTGTCGAAAGAAGGAAATGAAAGAGATAAAAGAGGGGAAAGGAAGCATCATCCGGACCGCCTTTTTAGCGCTCTTCTAATTGTATGTTCATTATGTGTACAGTGCCTTTGTATCTTAAATGAGACAAGTCTCCCCTTCGTCCCTCGGAGAAGGCACTCGACTCGTGACTCGAGCAAAATTTTCCGAGCATCCTCGACAAGGAAATAATATTTATTGGCTCAAAAGAAGAATTATTAAATTATTATTGTTTGTTAACATGTTACGAATTTTCTACAATGTAAATTAGAAGGGATATAATTTAAAATAGAAATTGATTATTGAGAAAATTTAAGAGATCAATTCTCTTATTATTAAATATAAATTTATTGCGAAAAAAGAAAATCTTGAATTAATCAAGTAGACAAGACTTTGTCTTTTTAATATAACAAATGTCCAATTATCTGTCTAAATTTTTCTATAAATGACATGTAATTGATATTTTTTTATCTTTGAAATTCTTCAGAGAATGCGAAATTTTGCTGATGATAATCAATTAACGGTTCAGCGAAGCAGATGCGTTGATCTGAGGGAAAGGGAGGCGCGCGGTCCTTCCTATGTGTCGTGACGTTCTTCTGACCTAGGTTCATAATTGTAATGAATTGTCTAATGATTAATATGTAAAATTAGATTAATTATTCGAGTATGTTGTAAAAGTCGTGTACAGAACCGGCCGATCGAATCGGTGCGGGAAGGTGCGGTGGCCCGTCGGAATCGCGCGGCGGCGGCCATCCTGTAGCTAGCCTTATTATGATTATCATTATTGCCATTATTATCATTATTATTACGATTATAAATATTGTGTTTACCGTAATAATGTGTAATATACGAGGTTACACAGAGCCAGAGACGTTGTGCATTTCCACCTGTCACCGACTATAATTAATAATTATATTAGTGTAATAATAATGCCTTTTACAGTGAGCATATTATGATGCTGTTCTGTGATAAAATTAACAATCGTCAGCTTCTTCGTTATATTCACAGTGGTGTTATTAATTCTTCTTATCATTTCCGAAGTAGCCGAGTGTTAGAATCATTTTGCTGTAAAAAGCGAAAAGTTGTAATTAAAGTTCCATTTAAAAAAGGGCGTAACTCATGTTTGTATAAGATCGATTATTTATTATAAGTGCTATATACATTCAATATTTTGTGGCAAGATGACACGGAAATGAAATTGGACAGAACTTTCCAAGACCTGAATCTGCTCAAATACTTGTCGCGCTTATCCGTCAGATTGGTGTAAAGGTTTATCGCTTTTTCTATCAATATTGATATGTTATTTTACTATTAGTATATATTGTATGTTTTATTTTTTAAAAGAGAATTGAAATATAATTCTTTCTAGATGAAATACATGTGCTTCATAGACTACCTTAATGATCAGAAATGTAAATGCGCAACTTTGTTCCCAATTATTGAGACTTTCCGCACCAATCTGGCAGCGTCGGCAAAGTAATACACGGAGACTTATTCTTGAAGATTCTCGATCTACGTTCTTCGCATTGCCTGCTTTCTGATTTGCTTGCGACGCGCCTGGACCACACCATAGACCACTGCAGCGAGACTGCGGCAGGTGCTCCTGTGTCTGGGAGTACCCTCTTGTTGTAGAGTGGCTTTGCCCAATACAAAGTACGTCTCCATCGTGCCCTTCCCCTTCACCTCGATTAGCCCGCGTTTCTGTGTCTGATAACCCCTCGATTCTAGAAACTATTCACATATGATGAAAATAAATTAGCGCGATAAGATAAATTTTCTCTCATTATTTTAGAGAATAAAATATGAAGTTGAAAAAGAAATGCATAAATGTAGATTGCATGACAATTTTAGTAAAACCGTCGTCTCCTGTATTTAGCTTCCAAATGACGTGCAGCAAAAAATTAAGAAAAAAAAACTGATTAGAAATAATTGGGAAACAATTCGAATCGAATATACTATTGTATACTATTCATTTCAATAGATTTTTCATTAATCTAATAGTATTTTTCCACAAAGGAACAATTTGTATATATATAAAAACATAAGATAGCTTTTTTAAAAATCATTATTGTGGCTATTATTATTATTACCCTGGCAATGTCGTGCGGAACTTGTATCTTGCCCATCACACCTGTGGAATCCATCCTGGAAGCTTCATTTACGGTGTTGCCCCATATATCGAAGACTGGCTTTCGTGCTCCAATCACACCACCTACGAGAGGCCCGCAGCTGATGCCTACTCGCAGATCGAAGTTGTTGAACGAGTGAACGTTCACATCTTCAAGACGATGGCGCATGGCCACCGCGTAGTCCACCAGTCTACACAAGTGCTCCATGTCGTCACCGTTGTTATCCTGCCATTCGAATTTTATTTTTATATATTATTTTATGCGCATTAAATCTTATGAGTCAACAGAAAACAATATTTGCACTTGATAGAGTACACTGTAAAATATATCAAAAGTTTTATTTCGAAATAAAATTATATTTACTTGAATTCGACAGCTGTCGTATAACTTGATTTTTTTCTGATTAAATATTTAGAATTCAGTTTCAAATGTATGGTTATTTAATTAATTGCCGGAATACGAGAGGAATTTTTAGTATACTTTATGAAGTTATTCTATTGCAAATATGTTACTTAAAAAATATATTTTTATATAGTTTGTAAAAATTTTCTGACATCACGATTCAAGATGATTGTAATCAATAGGCAGGAAACCTTAATACATACAGAGTGTCGCCAAATATTTTATGAACAGGTAGAGCGGACTAAATTGAGTCGAAAAGTCTTCTACCATTTTGCAATGTTCGCAATAGTTAACAAAATGTTAATTACTAAAAATTGCCGAAATTTGGTCTTCAATAATTTTTTACTCAAATACTATCAAATTTACAGAAAAACTGTAAGAGACAAAAATGTTTATTATTTTCTTCTCATAGAACTTTAAGAATTTTTTCAGAATTTTTTAATACCATATTTTCTCATGTTAAAAATAAGAAAATGCAGTACTAAAAAGGATTTTTAGCAAAAAGAAATTCGGCGATAATATCCTCGTATATCTCGTTAAAGTGCACATTATATATTGCGTTGTATTATATTTTATATTATTATTACGATTTGGCTTGGATTCAGACCCGACGCGGCCATATAGGTGGCTCCGACCGTCTTTATCTTCTCGATGCAGTGAAAAGGAGTCTCGTCCAGTAATTCATCGAAATCAGCTTGCAAGTAAATTACATGTCAAAACATCAATATATTATGAAAATATGAACAATGCGAAGAGTACAAGGGATAAATAAAATAATATGAATCTTAGAAATATACTACCTTGTTTTACTAATAAGAAAACGCGTGTACCATTTGCTTTTCATATAGAAATCAGTCTTTTTAGAATAGAGTTAGGCGTACTTAAATAGTGTATCAATTGTTACAACGCAATGTTATATCATTCTTCTAAAAGAACATCTAGTTGCTTCAAAGATATTGAAGGAGATAATTTCACTCTGCTCTTAAAAATTACAAATGATATTTAAATTGCATTGACCAAGAAAGATTGAATTGAAGTTTTGGAAAACAAAAGGCAATTTTAGAAAATAAAGTGAGAAAAAAATTCCCTACTCCAATATCATTTATATAGCATTTATACATCACTTATTAAGCAATTGAAAGATGTTCCAAATTATTTGGTTCCAAATGATTAATATAAACTATTCAAACATTGAATGATTATTCCAACAAAACTAAACTGTATATTAAAACAAATTAGAGATCTCTCTTATTAATGAAACAAGTAATAAAATGAATAATAGCGTATTTGCTAAGTATTTATATTATTTTGTCTATTCCCTGTACATCTTATTGTTAATATCATAAACAGCTATCTTTAACAACAATCGTTGTACCGATGATCTCATTAAGGAGACGAATGCACTCCATTCCCTTGTTCACGTCTTCTGAATAAAATTCTGTGAAGTTTGGCACACTGGCAAACATCACGCCGACCTTGTCCCGCGATTGCGAGTAGAGTTCCTGCATTGACGAGGAGATATTAGTAATAACACAGCGTATTTGCCTGTTAAATAAATAAGATTGGACCTTACTTCCGGCGCGCGATCTGTCGTGAGGAAGTGATGTGCCACGTGGTCTGGCAGAATGTTCTTCAGAAGCTGCATATTGTTATGTCGCGACTCAATCATGTCGTTCAACTCTCGTTCGGCCTGTTGCTTCCATAGGAAGTCCAGGCGCGACGTCACCTCCACTAATCTGCCATGGTACGTCACCATCACGAGGAAGACTGTCAGGAAGGTCAACATTTGAGCTGGTAAGGATATCGCCGATCTGGAAGACAGATTAAGAGCAGACGAGGGATGAATGTTGCACATTCCGATTCAATATTAATTAAAAATTAATTTTATCTTCTGCTTCATCACATATTTGCAGGCCTTTACGACATAAAAATTTGTTTTTCTATTAATACAGCTATTACGTTTTCTTGCAAAAAGTCAAATGTTTCATATTTAAGGCTGAGGAGAATTTGAAACGTGAAAGTTGTATATTTGTCTCCAATATTTCCCTAGTAAAAAAATAGTTCTTATAAGTCTATAATATTTTTTAAGGCTCCTGACAACTTATCAAATTAATGATGTCAGAAGTCTTAGAATATTTCGTAAATAGACAAAATCTAAAAAGAGAGAAGAAAGTCTATAGATTTTTTAACACTTCTAAAAAGTTATAAAATTACACAGAAATTACAAAGAAAAATTGTAAAATCAACATAAAAATTCTGAAAAATTATATATAAAAAAATGTTTTGGAAATTTATTATACATATATTGATCTGAGTGACTTACACGTTTCTTTCTCTCTCCGTGAACATGTCCTTGCATACAACAAGGATCAGCACCGCGTACACTACAACGATTGCTGCGGCTAGCGCAGTTTTCACCAAATAATACAGCTTCAAGGCTGAAGCGAGCGCGATCAGGCACAAGATCCATGTGAACACCATATACTCCGGCCGAATGCAGTCGGTCTCCTCAAGCTCATTAGAACTCATCAGAGCCAATCGTTTTGAGCGAGCTTTCTGATTCTCCTCTCCAACTACGGAGAGGATCTTTCTTTGGGAACCTTCGATGTCGCGTTTGCGTGCGACTCGTCTGTAATGCCGGCTTCCGATTTCTGGCTTTCCGTAATGTTGCTCGTATCTGCGATATATATTATTTGTCAGAAAGTCATCAGTAATTTCACTTATCATAATTTATAAAATAATAATACCTCAACCGACGTTTGCAAGTAAATATGATCATTATTATCACACAATACGCACCTGTAGAATCTAAAAAATTCCCTCCTGCTTTTTCCGGGCTCCCTGTCATTCACCACCCGAGTCAGCTTCAGCTCAATATTACTGGAACCCGTTTCCAAAGTGTTGTTCTCCGTCGAGAGAATGGTTTTTCCTCCCTCGGTGGACTCATCACTCAGAGCAGCTTCTAGAAACGTAAGGACAAAGTGGTCCAGGCCTGACCTTTCGGTGGTCGCTGTTAATTTCTCCTGCACCGGAAGTGGTGCTGCCACGATTGTCGTCGGTATCTGCTGTTGCTCGAGCACCATCACTTCCTGGTAAGGACGTACCGTGATGGGACAAGTCAGCACGCCGATGATGGACGTTAACGTCATTAAGGTGATGACGCCGCAGATGAAAATGGTGCGGTGCTTTTTGTTGTGCACCAGCATAGATGATGTGTGCTGCAGGTATGTCGGCATGCCCTTGAATTCTTCTGCCATCACTAGGATTGAAGATGCCACCAAGATCACCGTGGTCACCAGCAACGAGATCAAGAGAATCATGCAACTACGGTATTAATGAAATTGAATAAAGTTAATTAATATATCATCGTATGCGACATTATTAGATATATATTATAATATATTATATTAATTAGATATAAGCTATGATGAACTGTCAAATTATTGTAGTAATATATGAAAATAAATAATTTAATTTCTTCCCAAAAAAGAAGAAGATAATTTTCGGTGTAGTTTACAAGTCTATTCTATCGACTGCATGTTGTTTAATTAAAAAATATTTCTGTTCAAATATACTTTGCAAAAATTTTTTATGCAGTAAATACTTATAATTTTAATATTTAAAGAGATATAAATATAACATAAGAATCTTAAGTTGAATATTTTATTAGAAGTTAGATAATAAAGAAGGAATTATTTATTTCCAAGAAATCATATTTTATTCCGTAGCAAAATTTGTATTTCTAAAGCGAGGAAGTTGGCAATTAATTAATTAATTTTTAATTTGCTACTCACTCAGACAAGATTATGGCCTGACAAACGGCAATGAAGAGCCATATGACGAAGCAGCATATCATATTGGATTTGAACATATCCTCTCGCAATTGGTCGAACTGAAGAACAAAGTACGATATAATTAATTAATATACAAATATTCCACGATTCACCTTTTAAAATTCAAATTTCTGTACTCTGATGGAAAAGTATTTACAATTTTTTAATATAATTTTTCAAAATTTTTGGATGTATATGTATTAATTTTTTTATTAAATCAGACAAGCCTATAGAATTAACAATAAGATAATAAACAATAATGCATCAATGGAAAATCAATGTCACCTTGGATTCCAGACTCTCGTCGTTATAGCGCAAAGTCCACGTGTTTATGTTTGCTGATCTCATACGTTTGTTACTGGCAGTTTCGATAGCACCCTTTTTCTCAACGGCTGTCGTCGAGGCTGCTTTGTTGCTCGGTTTGGCTGGTTGGCCATTCTCTTCTTCCAAGTACTCGGACTCCAAATTGCTCACCGATGTAGCTGTGTTTAGCTTACAATTATAAGACAAATAAAATAAATAACATTTGTCACTAATTTACATTTGTTGCATTACTATTAATTCAATTAATAATACATCTAATTTATTATTAATTTTAAATAATTAATATAATTTTAACGCTTACATTCTCGAACGGAATTTCAGGCGTCCAATCAACTCCGATATCGTCATCCAAGGAACCCGGCGCAGGAGCGTTACTGTTCACAGTTGCATGTGGATTCACTTTGAAGCTCTTCTTGTTCTTGTTCGCGGCCAGCTCTTCCTCCGTCCAGACTTTCGGCTTCGACGATTGCCTTCGTCTGGATTTAAGGGGCTCCAACTGTTTGATGAGATATGTCTCAACGTTTCTGTCCTTTAAATAATTGTCCCGCTCGCAGCCATAGCCGGGTTCCACCTCATAAACGTCGTTCAGGCACTTGAGCGTGTCGGCGGAAATATGTACCCTCCTATAACAAGAAAATCCCTCGTTTCGCTTGTATATTTTGTAGAGATGAAGCAAATTTAAGAGATTAAATACCCTAAAAAATTGTAAGTGTATGCATCTTTTTAAAGATAACTAATAGGTAATTGTAAAAATCTGAATGTAGATTAACAGTTGATAAACGTTATTAATCATTTACTTATTTATAATACGTGATATACTCTGTATTACAAATTTCTTTTTCATACCCCGGTATTCCTCCACTTTCGAGATGGTTTGCAAGTGTCACGTCATATGACCACACATCGAACTGCCATTTTCGCAAACCCAACACTCCGCACAGTACCGATCCACTGTGGATTCCTATCCTCATGTTTAAATCCACCTGCGCCAGAGGAAGATGAAGGAAGTTTCGAATTAAATACGTTTAAAGTACAAACTTTATTTTTATTAGATTAATACTTCATTTTTACTTTAGATATTTTTAAGATACTTGATTGAGAAAGTTACAAAAATTAAGACTTGTGATGAAACAGCGTAAACACAACAAATTCGTTCAACAAAAAATACACCAGTTTCAAAGATGCAAAGAGGTTTTTTTATCTGAAAAAAGTTTATACATAAGAAATATCAGTACCTTCGTGGTGAACCTAACATCTCGTATGGCTTTTATCATATGCAGGCCCATCTCGACGCAGCAGTGAGCGTGATCGCTTCTGGCGATCGGCAGGCCAGAAATGCAGTAATAACAGTCGCCAAGGAGCTTTATACGCAGACAGTGATTCTCTGCCGAGAGTTTGTCGAAACGGGCGAAGAGGTCGTTCAAGACCTTCACCAGCTCTTGAGCGCTGCACTGACTCGCCAGAGCTTCAAACAAATTATTGTGAATCGTCACCAGACACGTATATCATACAGTTTTATACAAGTTACGTAATTTATGTTTTACATATAGTTAATTTAAATATTATATTTTATTTAACATGTAAATATTTGTAAATATATTACATATGAGATAGACAGAATAACGTAAATATCTGAGAAATATACTCATCTACTTGGTTTATAAATAAGAAGTCACCCTACTGAAAAAAATCACGTCACACAGTTGCATGATAAAATCATGTAATTAAAATATGTAAATCAATTGTTGTAATGAATTGTTCCGTAATGAATCAGTAGGCGTAATTTTTTTAAAAAATGTAATTTGAAAAATCACATGATGATATGTTCTTTTTTTTTCTATTTCTATCATTCAATTCTTTAAAATTCGACAACTATAAAATCACATAATGGATGAAATTTTTAATATCATGTGATTTCTCAAATTATATGATTTCAAAAAAATCACGTACTGATTTGGAATAATCCGTGACTTACATGATTTTAATTACATGATTTCATCATGTAACGTTGTGATGGTTTTTTTCAGTAGGGTGGCCTACCATTTGTCTTTAATAAAGATTCTATTCTTGGAACAGTGTCATATACGCGCTTGAATAATGTAGCAACATTATATGATTCTTTTAGTAAAACTTCTTCTAATTGTTTAAAAGATATTACAAGAGGAAATTTGTTTCTCACTCTGCTCTTCAAAATTACAAATAATTTAAATCAGACGATTGACCAAGAAAAATGTTGGAGTTTTGGAAAAACAGAAGACAATTTTGAGAAAGAAAATAAAGTGAGAAGAAAATTCTTCCTTCAATATCATATATATAAACAATTAAAAGAATAGTACAACGTTCCATTAATATTAAATGACTTCCAATAACAATAGAATGTGTATTAAAATCAAATGATGAGCCAACCTCTTGTTAATAAAACAAGTAGAAAGCTAAATAATTTTTCAGGTGTGTATGCATTCATTTTATCTCCTGTATACATTAAATTAAGTAATAAGAAATTCTTTCTTCTACATCGAGGCTCTTAATCGAGCGTAGCGTACCCGTGAATCCTTTGATGTCAGCGAACAGAATACTGACGTTCTCGTAACGGTGGATGTATATCCGGTGAAACTGATTCGGCGTGAACGATATCGTCCCACCTCGTGCCGTTTCGCGGGCGATGTCGCGGATCATTTCCTTGGCGACAAAGTCGGGCAACACTTAAACGGGATTAATTATTGATTATCTTTTAACACGTGTATCAATGCGATGGTAAAATAAAAAAATGTAAGTGCTCGAGATTCTGCGAAATCTTTGTCCGAGTCAGAATAGAGATTTCTCTTTAACGAGATAATCATTTGTCATAAACATTCCTCTTTAAGTAGCCTTCTAATTAATTCTCTTGAATGTTAAAAAGAAACACATCCATACGAAGTTGAATCTGAAAAACAAGACTCTTCAGTCATCTATTTCCGCTGAAGTTCAACTACTGAAGTTCAACTACTGGGAACCTTCGCAATCTTGCTGGCTTACGATTTTGAATAACTAAGCTGACATTATTCCGGTATCAATTTACTGAAAACAAACAATCCTATGGCGTTACGAGAGCGACGATAGTGGGTCAGAGGTGGTATTTATGATATAATCCAGCGTAATGTACCCCGACGACGGGATATATTTTAATAGCGGCCGCTACGAAGAACGGCGGATCGATATATCGGGTGGGATCGGCGACGTAACACGCAAAAGGCTATTGGAAAAACGTGCGTCCAACCGGCGCAATCGGCCGAGAGAGTGTCTAGTGACCCTTTTTGACACTCGGCCGAGCAAGTTACACGGACGAGCGGTGGCGAGTTACCCATCGCGTGTTACGATAAATATGCACATAAATACCCAGCCTAGTTACAACCCCGTGGCGATGCTTCGTGCCGTCTTTTCTTCTCGAAAGCTGCGAGAAATGCTCTCAAAGATTCCCTCTAAGTCTTTCACCAAAGGGATGGTCGAGGATCTACTCTAGTCTATCGGAGATACTCTAATCTTGTTTTTCCAAGCTCAGGGCACGAGGCAAACTCAACTCTCGCGTCTTGAGCTTCGCAATTATTCTATTTCAAGCTACTTCAAGCAAAGAAGAAATCACACTTACTTCGTCAGGAACATAACTTAAGCATTTTTATTTCACGTCCAAGATGTTTCAGAATGTTAAAATTATTAAATGGATAATTTTAAGTAGAAAAGAGAAAAAGTGGGATAGCCCGAAATTGCTTTTTACCTGAGAGCAATAGCTTTTCTTGTCTATTGTTCTCGTTCTGCGTGCGTTGTCGCGTTTCTGTGGAACGATGGGTCTCCAAGAAAGCCTGCCGTTGTCCCCGGTCCGTCAAGTACTTGGTGTACATGCCGGCCAGATTCACGGCTAGATACAGCAGTACGTTTGTCGTTAGCATGCGGATGATACACGCGGCGTCTTGCAGCTGCAAGAAAAATCATTAAAATAACACTGAGGAACAAATTTTGATCAATTTTTTGTTTCTCAGCAAGTCTCTTGTAGGGCTTTTTAAGGCACTGAAAAAGAATAGCTTTTTAAAAAAAATTCTCTTTAATTATTAAAAATTCCGCTTTGAATATCTTCAAAACTGATACTTTTGCATGGCATTAACGAAACTCGGAAAAAATTTTGCTGCCAGTATATTAGAGCTAAATAAAATTAAAGTTTTATTTACAGCTAAACAAACTAAATATTTACAGTTTTGGATCAAGAAGGATTCAAACTATAAATCAGAAATTAAATTCAAATAAGATTACAATCAGAATTTAATAAAATTTCATGCATAATAAAAGATCATTCATCTCTCTCTCTCTCTCTCTCTCTCTCTCTCTCTCTCTCTCTCTCTCTCTCTGCGCTGAAATGATTTAATCTCTACAATAACGTTTTCATTCGAAAAATGAAACAAGAGAACACAAGAGGGAGAATTCATAATATGAATTAAATAAATCTCTTGAGAAAACTTTGAATGGAAATTCTAGAAACTAGATGTACGATGTGTCTTCTCACGTATGTGGAGTCCCGCAGGAGACTTATGCCAGCCATCACCATGTGTGTTAGCGCCGTTCCATAGCCGGCGAGGACGCACCATCGCAGCGGCAGAGGCAGCATCGCATAGGGCGCGTATACGACGAAGAGTATGTACCACATAAGCCGCTGCTGCGTAGTGAAATTCAGACCGGCACCTATGAAACCTGTAAACAGCCACGAGAAGTGACGAAGGTATTACTTGCGAAGATATTCCAAGATATTTTTTCTTCCGATGGGTAATTTCTATGGGTGTACATTAAGAGAAAAATGTATTAATTATTTTAATAAATAGTTGTTTGAGTAGTACTAGTATAACATTTATTTATGGAAAATAAATATTTGTTAAATAAAGAATATAATATAGTTAAATTAAATTATTAATTTTTGTACCAAATAAATATGTTTACATTTAGTGAATATGTAACTGGCGCTAGTTAGACAAAAATTTGTTACAATTTATTATATTGCTCTCTCAATGTAACATGCTTGATTAAGAAATACAGGAAGAATATTCCACACAGAATACTTTATCCGAGAGACATTTTGGAAACGTTTTTATTAAGATATTGCATATTCTGCATAATACTAAACCTCGAAGGTCTGTTCTGTATAGGACAGGAATGACTTGAACGCGAACGGAAATTGTTTAAACAATTATTTTTGCGAGCATCTCAAAATAAGCCCAATCAAATTACCAGCTTCGATCTCCATTTTTTTCACGCTCTGATGAATGTTCGCTCGATTTTAGTTGGTCAGTAGAGCAAAACGCCATTCGATTCAACTGCGGAATCGATACAGCGAAATTGCTTAGAACGATGTAAAAGTTTTGTCGTCCTTGTTAAAGTTGAGAGCCAAGTTATCAAGTTTCAAAGTTTTTACACTCAAAATTAAATTGAAACAATCATGACTTCTTTATATATATTCTTTCTGAAGAGAAAAGATCAGTGATTCCTTTCTTTGGATTACTGTTTCTTAAATCAATAATTTTGTTTGCGAAACCAAAAGGTTTCATGGAAAAGGGACAAAATCCTTCGCACCAGTCTATTTCCAAATCAAGTAATTATAATTGCATCCATTTATAATTATGGGAATCGATAGGTCAGAATGAGTCGCGTGGACCTCACCTTGAGAATTTATTAATAACCAAGTGAATATCGAGGCCCAGTACAGATAATTGTTAGAAAAGCAACGCCACCAGCCGAGCACGCAGATCACCAGATTCGCTGCCATGCAACACGCGGCCCACGATAAACCCTCGATGAGTCCTCCGCCATTCGAGTCTCGTTGCCAGAGCCAGATCGCTGTTAGCGTGATCTGCATCGCGATAAAAATCTCTTCCATCACATAGTTTAGCGGAGAAAACATTTATCTATCGGGAATTTTTATCTTTTATTATCTATTCGTTATAGAATTTTAAAGAGCGATGTAAAATTTAATTAATCTTTATTAGGATAAAATAATTTTACTTTTATCATACATAAGTTTGTTTAACTTTGTAAAATATAAAAATGTAATCTGTTAGCATTCTCAGTAGGAGATATATTTTTAAAAATTTTAAACACGACCATATATGCGAATACATCAAATAAAACAAACCAAGATCGGTCAAATTTTGGATGTTACAAATAATACATTACATATTCTTTTATTCAATCAATTTATTCCAGATATAATTGCGATTATTCTGAGACGCTGATAATCCCCCATAAATTACATTAGAAAGAAAAAAAGTAAGAAATTTATTGCGAAAAATATTATCTCAGCCAGGATTCGAACCTGGAACCTCTCACTTTCCGGGAAGAGTGTCTCAGTGATCGAGCTGGTTAAGACGTTCTTCCTGAAAAGTTGAGAGGCTGAGGCTAATAAATTTCTTACTTACTTTCTTTCATTCTTTCTATTATTTGTAATATCCAAAATTTGACCGATCTTGGCTTCCTTTATCGTATTTAAGATATATTTTGAATTAAAAGTTTTTAAGATAACTCTATCAATTTTTTAGAGTAAATCTCACTTCAGAGAAAGAATTTAGAGTAGACATATGTACGTGTATAATTGTTTAATTTTATGGGATATAAAATTGTAGATTATAAAAAGACTTTTAAAAACTTTTGCAAACTTTTGTAGATTTTTAAAGATTAAAATAAAACACAGATTTCTGTGTAAATGACCTACGCGATTTAGTTGATAAAATTACATTCTTCGTGATTTTCATGAATATAAAATTAATTTGGGTTTATCGTGCTTTTCCGCATCGCTCACCTTCAAGCTTAGGTCCACGATATTCAACATAATCAGGGACTTCTGTCTTTGCCGATTCGAGTAGAGAAGATAGGACGTCTCCAACTGCTTGCTGTGAAAACTATTGGTCAGCGAGGGTAGAAATATTCCCTTGTACAGCATCCCCTTCTTGAAGACATCTACAACCACACGATCGCGCACATTCCAGTCTTTTCCATTTCCATTTATTGTGTCGGATTAAATGGGAAGACATTCCGGAATTGGGATTTCGTACCACGTTGGGTCTGAGCCTCCTCATCGGCTACGGACTGCTCTGCTCCGTCGGCGGCTTCCGGTTCCGCTTTCGAAGTCTCGTCATCATTGACGGGTGCCTCGCCGTCATCCTTCGCTTCGGCGGCGACCTCGGGATCCGTGTTGGATTTCCGATCCTCCCACGCCGCCAGTCCTTCCCGGCCCAGCCTTTCGGAGGTCAATTTCTTCACCGCCTTGATCCATAACTGTTTCCTCGGCGAAATGCTCGACCTGACCCATGATTATCGTGCGTAATGTATCGATTCGTCAATTATGACGAAAAAAAAAAAAAAACGATTTATAGCATCGTGCAGTGTGAAATTTGCCCACTTATATGTTCTATAATAGCTATGTTCCAAAATTTACTGCCAGTATTGGAAATCTAAAGTTCACGTGACGTAAACTATATCGTTGTAAAGAGAATATTTTATGCGCGCGTTTTGTATTTTGTTTACGTATTATAAATGTATAATACGTAATATATGGCGAATTCGATTGGAAACACTGGTGCATATTAAAGCCGTTGTACACTGATTTGATAAAAATGAAATGCAAACATTTCGAATTATGAAATATATTTTATCTAATAGTACAATAAAATGTATTGTTCACGATTTAATCAATTTCTATATTTATTTCTAAACATATCTTTACATTATTTTGTGTACAACGGTTTTAGTGCGTACCAGTGCGCATTGAGTGCGTCCAATCGAATTCGCTATTAGATTAAATTATATGGGAAAAACGATATTGCTGAAATGATCTAAAAATTTAACTAAATACAGATTTGAAAATAATTTTATTGAAATCAAAATAATTGTGTAGGATGTTTAAATTACTTGCTGGAATATCAAAACTTTTTGCAGTATTGCTTATCATGCTTGAGATTTTTATGAGGGTGAATCAAATATAAACGAGAATTTTTTTTTTATTATTTATTGGACGAGAATAAAAGTATAAAAAAAATAAATTATTTTTCTACATAGTTCCCTGCTACAGTAATATATTTTTGCCAACAGATAGGCAGTTTGGCAATCCCGTTTTCATAAAAAGTAGTAGGTAGTGTCTGCAGCTAATTACGCACGAATTCTTTTACGCATCGTCTACGAATCGTATTGTCCTCCTAATTCTTTTTTCAGTGATTCAAACAGATAATAATCACATGGAAAGATTTGTCTCAATGCGATTATCATTTGTTTGGACCGCTAAAAGAATTCGGAGGATTCAAATTGCCTATCCGCTGGCAAAAATATATTAAAGTAGCAGGGAACTACTATGTAGAAAAATAATTAATTTTCTTTATATTTTTATTCTGGTCCAATAAATAAAAAAAAAATTCTCGTTTATATTTGATCCACTCTCGTACATAATTATTTTAATGATCCAATAAAATCGTTTTCAGCTCTATATCTATAGTTAAATTTTTAGATACTTCAGCAAAATTGTTCTTTCCATGTGAGTCATTGAGTCACTCCATACAAAAAACTGTTTTTAAATCAATGATTTTCAAATAAAATTTCTCGTGAAAACGAAATCTATTCAATTTACCAAGTAAAATATTTCTCGATCAGATCGAGCGAATTTCACACTCCGGGGAGAGACGAAGAAGTCGAGAGACGGCGAGTCGACTACTCACTCGTTGATGCTCGTGACATCGCTGTCCAGCATCATGCTCCAGGTCTGTTCTGTAATCATTATCTTCCCGATGATCCGCGGATCACGACTGACCGCTCACGTTGTGATCGTCAGTAAGGCAACAAGTGCCTTAGCATCATCCGGCATTGTTCATAAACACCTTGAATGAAAACTGACTGCGAAGAAGCGACGATTTGTTCGCACCACGGCGACGTTGCGGGGCGAACGTCGTTTTTCACGAGACGGTAACTCTCCGGTAAAGAGAGATCGGTCGATCCACGATCGCGATCGCGTACGACGGCGGTTGATCGAGACTCGTTCAACGAGATCCGGCCTGACTCTTTAGCTTCACGACCGGCGGGATGCGAGAGGCGTCTGATCGAAGTGTCATATCTTTTCCTTTCTCCTCAGGGCGTATCGGGTCGTGACGAAAACGCCTCCACGGGGACGCCTACGTATTTTTTTTTCCTCTAACACTTTTTCAAGTGTCCCTTTAACGGCTTTAAGTGTTATCAACTTCTTCGTCAATATTAAAATCAAACGCGACGGCGCGTCTCCGCGACATACGAGGTATGTGACGAAAAAGAAATGGCACCAAAAGACGAATTATATCTAACTTAGAATTGGAGATATTTTACCAGGAAACCCCAAGAAGTGTTCGCTTCCGATTTCAATAGTTTTCAAGTTTTGAATATGTTGTTTTTTTATATACAGAAATAAAGGATTTTTTATAAGGGTCTAATTAGGACGCTTTTAGGGCGCAACATCCCTTTGAAGAAAATCCGGTTTTTCTCTTGAAATGAATATCATCGAAACTGTATGTAGGAGGTAGAAAAAATGTTTTGTCTAAAAGTTAAATGTAAATAAAATAATAAAATAAAATGTCCCTTATTTTTTTCTAGAAAACAACATATTCAAAGCTCGTTAAAATAGGATAAGGACACTTTCATAGGTCTCCTTGTTACATGAAACTACTTTATTGCTTCATTTTCTATATACATAATTGCTTAGTGCATGTGTGCGTATTGCTTTGTACAGTGATACAAGTGTACATACAAAAATTATGTAATATACACAAATTATAAATTAAAATTATATAATACATAAAAATTTGTTTTAAAAACCAACAAGATAAAATCCTCTTACAAGTAACACTATCCAACTATCACTCATCAATCTGGATGAAACTATGCACACTTGTTTAACATTGAAAAATATTGAAACCGTGTTTTTCTATTTTTCCCCAAAATCAATTTTAAAGATTGAAATCAGTCCTCAATCCTCAACCTCAAAAATGTGTTATCTCGCCACGAAAATTGTAGAGTTGATGAAGAACGAGATAATAATGTTCTTACCTTGATTTTGTGAAAATCAAATGTCAAAATCGTTTGGAGATCAAGTGTTGATTTTTTTCAATGCTAACTTCAACAAACAGCAAAAAGAGACAAAAATCTCACAGAAAAAAATATTTGGTTGAATTAATTAACTAGAATTTTGGTTAAGTTTAGATTTTTTATTAAATATACTAAATATTGATTATTTCCACGATAATTTCAATAGATTTAACTGGAAATCTTGCAGATTTCACTAGAATTCTGGATCATTCATTTTCCACCAGAATTCCAATTAATTCAACCAAACCATTTTTTTCCCGTGCATTTTAACATATTTAAAATCAGGATTTAATTGCCATCTATATGCTCGGAGTAATTCTAGTGTAGTAATTCGAGATAACACATTTTTTGGGAGTGATTGAGGGATGGTTTCAATCACCCTTAAAATTCACTTTGAGGAAAAATAAAAAAACATGAGTTCAATATTTTTCAATGTTAAATGTATAGTTTCATCCAGATGAATGGCAGTGTTACTTGTTAATAGAAAATTCAGTAAATTTAATTTTCAGGCAATTAATAATTAATTAATTACATAATAGCTTTTAATTCTTAATAATTGTTGACAATAATTGTTGCGACACTTTCTTTTTCACCAATCATCTCGTATTTTTGCGAGACACGAATCCTGAAATTCTTCTTTATATCTTCATTATATTTTCATCATGACTCGACGCGTCTTCGGATGAAGAAACGAAGTGTTCAGTCGCGATACGATAGATAGATGAAAAAGTATATGTTATATATGTATATACGTACTGTTTATCGAAACTGAAGTACGAAAAAATTGTGATCGCAATAATTTCATTTTTTATTAATTAATTAATCACCCTAATCAATATTATATATTCAAAATTTTTTATACATAATTATTTTGAGGATTCGGATAAAATTTTTTAAATTTTTAGATCATAAATTAATTTTCATAATTAATTAGCTAAATTTTAGATACTTCAATAAAAGCTAATCTTTTCGCGTAATATTCGCGCATATCTAGTGTACTTTAAATTAAGCAATTCCTTTGCTTAAAGTTAACGTAATTGAACGAATTTCTTTTTGTTTTAAAAAATCAAAATTCGAAGAAGTAAGATTGTAAATTTTTTAATTATCTAAAATTGTAAAAAAACATTTATTATAAATCATTTTTTACAAAACAGTCAAAGAAAACTCCAGGTCTACTGGACCAAGGAAAACCGATTAGGGTTAAAAAATAAATTTCATATATCTAATCCAATGAATTTTTATTTGCCCTGCAATTTCAATAAACAGCAATGTAAAATTAGAGAGTAATTTGTATGAAATAAATATCGCATGTAACATAAACGGAGGATTTTTTTTATACTAATGCTTTTCAATAAAAAAAAAAAAATGTGCTTTTTAAATACGATAGTGAGTAGCTTACCTTAATCGTTTCAATTCTCAGCAAAGGAAACGCAGATTTCTTTCTATATGTCACGTCCTGACATCCGAGAAAAACTCGAAAATTGCGCGCGCGCTTCTTGACACGCCGACGAGCGGGATCTACGAGATGTCCACAAAGTTCAACCCGCATCCCCCCATCATCGTTGGCTCATCCCCCCTGAATCCGATCTGGAGAAGGGGCGCGATTGTCGACGTAACCCAACAACACTTCAAAATAACATTGCTATTGTTATATTGTATTTGAAAAGAGACCCCTGGTGTAACAATTTTTTAACACTCTAAATTTGCATTCACTTATTATCAGAAATAATATAAAGTCTTTTTGACTTGCTATTGAGTGTCAATAAAAAGAAAATGAATGCAAATGATTGAATTATATGTTATTTAAAGATATAAATGGAGGAGGAGGAGGGGAGGGGGGGATCTACGCATTACAATGTTATACTATTGTAAAATAATATCCGTCTAACTTATTATTATCAACCCGTACGATCCCCATTTTAAAGTAGAGACAGGTGGTGGCTCGTAGTGGATTTCGTTCGAATTAAAAATCTATCCTCGTTGTCATTGATCGAGACATATTACTGAAGAATAAAAAGCTGATTTTATATATATAGAAATATAAAAAAGAAATGTAAGTAAAAACATCAAGAAATTACTATATAATTAATACTAAAAGATATATTGAAAGAAATTCAAAATTAATTTGAATTTAGAAATTACAAAAATGAAATTAAAAATTAAAAATTTTAAATATAAATTAAAAACACAAATTATTATAAATTAATAAAATTTAAACACGTACACACACACGCACGCGCGCATATACATACAAAATAAGAATATTGATAAATTACCGACGATAGATATAAAAATTGACGTGGTCAATCCGACTTTTAAAATTTAATAACTTATACAACTTTATTTTTAGAATATAGTAACGTTGGGCGCGATTAAAATGTTCATTATCATTATTTGTTCATGATCTAACGTGTTACAATTTTCCTCACTAAGGTGCACTGTGATTTAAACTTAGTTTTGGAGTTTCCCTTCTTACGTTTGTATAATCTTGTTCAATACTAAGTCAGCTAGACGTGTGAAGATTTATTTTGAAGGTAGTAGCGGACGGCAGTAGACGGTAGCGTTGGTGCAAAATTGTGCAAAAATTTGTGAAGGTAATGAGAAAAGATATTTGAAACAGATTTTAATTGTAACAGATATGTGAAGTTTAATAAGAACAGAGGTAATACCGGAAATAATTAATTGAAAACGAAATTAAAATAAAATCTCTAAATGTTAAATAAATCTCTAGAATAAAATAAATAACTTTATTTTATTGTATTAAATGTTTTGTTAGAACACTGTTATTTATTAGATGAAAATGTATTGAAACATAAATTTATATTATTTTTTTAATACATTGATTATATGTTAAATGAATTAATATAATTAATATATGCTCTCTCTTTTTTTCTTACAGAGATGCACTGAAGATTTTATTAATTTTTTTTTTTTTTTAATAATTCATTAAACAGGTATTCACAAAGCAGAATGCGTTGGATGAAAATCTCGTGTATTTTGTGCATGTTTGGATGTTTTAAGGACTTTCGGCCTTCTGAATCATTTGTAACCGATTACTTAACTGGACCATGGAAGAATTTCACAAAGGAGGAAGTTAGTTTTTGAAATATTGAATATTATATTGATTTTATGTCCATTCAAATAATCGAATTGTTAACGATACGTTTAATTTTTCAGGTAAATCAAGATATTCTTCCTGTGGCCACGTACAGTTATTTAGCAACACTGATACTTGTCTTCTTGATAACAGATTTTGTTAGATACAAACCAATCATTGTATTATGTGGTCTTTCCGGTGTCGTCACATACTTTATGATTATACTCGGCAAAACCGTGATAGTATTCCAGATTGTAGAATTTTTTTACGGCGTGTTTATGTCAACAGAAGTGGCTTATTATACTTACATATATGCCAAAGTAGATAAAAAACATTATCAAGAAGTAACAGGGCATACTAAAGCGGCCGTACTATTTGGCCGTAGCATGTCTGGTATTGTAGCGCAATTAACAGCTTCCTTCGAATTATTAAACTATCATCAGCTCAATTTTATAACTCTTTCAGGTACGCAAGATAAAATTAACTGATGCATACATCAAACTGTCCGATTATATGATTTAATCATTTTATATAGAATAGAATTCTACATAGCTTGTGCAAAATAATGACATTAATCAACATTCATAACAGAAACACATTTTTTTTTGTTACTAAAGAAACGTATGGATTCTTGGAATCTAAAACTTTTTGTGTTATTAAGTTATTTTCTTTAAATGAATGAATTTTTCGAATTCAACTATATTCTTAATCTATGATATAAAACTGTTTGAAAAACATAAAAAAAGTACTATGGATTGAATTTATTGTTTCTAAAGTTAAATTTAAACAGATGTTGAAATTTTTTCTGAGAAAACACGATTTTTCAAATTATTATTATATCCTAGAATTATCAGGATCTGTATGTTTCTGTTACGGATGAGGTATTACAATATACATGAGATATTATTTATAAATATTGACATTCTTTACATATTATATTATATCAAAGAATTATATAAATTTTATATATAAATTTTGTTTTCCAGCTAATATTTTGGCAACGATCTGGGCGCTCTTCTTGCCTTCTGTAAATCAGTCGATGTACTTTCATCGCACCAGCGTTTCTGAGGAAGACACACAAGGAAAAGACACTCTCGATTATCACTTGCAACATTCCAGCAATTCGCAAGAATTACCTAATGTCGAGAATGGGAAAACAAAGCAATGTTTCATGGTATCAGGCGCACAAGTGTTTCGTAAAACTAGAAACGCGTATGCGTTGTTGTGGAAACATTTCATCCAGGCTTATACCAATTATCGCGTGGCCAAGTGGTCGGTTTGGTGGGCACTGGCTACCTGCGGCTACTTGCAGGTCGTTAGTTACATTCAATTACTATGGCAAACTGCAGTGATTCCAGGCGACATGATCTACAACGGTGCCGTGGACTTTGTCTACGCAATCGTCGGTAAGGAAGATGCTTCAGCCATTTTTGGTAAAACACGTGCCTTGTTTAAGTTTTTGTAAAATCGAAATATACAATTAAAACAACGAATCAATATAGAACAATTAGTTATATCTATATAATAATGTAATTGATGCGAGGTAAACTGCATAATTTTCTCGAATACTTTAAATTAAAGTTTCAATTTTTATTATTTAAATATTATCGCAATGAAGATAACAATTGCTGCAATCCTGTTAATGCTATCTGCTAACAATGAAGTAATTTTGTCTCTAATCTAAAATAAATACATATTATGTGAGATAAAGCTTAATGAAGATGGCAGATAACATTAGCCATTTTTCCAAGAAATATCCAAACAATAGTCTTAGTAGATAATTTTTATCTTCGTTGCAAATTAAAAAACTGAATATAATTATAAATAAAAATGTATTTGTGCCAACTATAAAACAATATTTAATATATTTTAGAAGAATATATAATAATTTATCTTAATCATATTATATTATAAGAATCTTATTTTAATTGATAGTGCTATTCAACTCAAATCTCATTAAAATTACTCATCAATTAAATACAGCTCAGTGAGATTTGATGTGTGATTATAGATGCGTTAAACATTTTTATTTATAAATTCATTAAAATTTGATTCGAAATAAATTTGCAAATTATCTCTATATCTTGATAAATTATAAAGTGCCAAGGTTTCGTAAATATTGCAATTCACTTCATCAGGGCGAGAAGCAACTTGAAATTGCATCATATAAGTTACTTTTCGTTCTAATAAAGTGAATCGCAATGTTCACAAAATTTGAGATTTAACGACGTCAAGACACGGGGATAATTTGCAAACTGCGTAGTTTCTTCAAAAAAAAATATCCGTGAAAAAAGTATTCATATCAATTAGACTTGATTGATAATGAAAGAGCGCGATTAAGAAAAACTAATTAAATAAAATTATGGAACAGCTACAATTAAATTTTTTAATTAATCTTTTTATTTTTACCAGGTGCAGTGACCGTATTTTATGTAGGGAAGATACAGTTGAACTGGACCCTATTAGGAGATATGACGTTGTCCATTTTTTCGCTCTTGGAAGGCGGTATGTTATTAGGACTCTCTTACAGCTACAACATTTGGCTTCTGTATTTCGGCTACGTCATATTCGGTGTAATTTACCACACCATGGTTACTGTTGCAAGGTGAACGCAATGATTAAGCAGAATTGATCAAAATTAATCAATCATAATTGACACTTAATCATCCGATTAAGCTCGGAAGACCGACAGAAAGAAGGTTTTTGCTGGTAGGAGTATCTAAAACTTTAGCTAGATATAGATCTGAAAATAATTCTGTTGGGTCAAAATAATTGTATAGAACACTCAAACTAGTTCCTAGAATATCAAAACTTTTTGCAGCATTTTATTCATCGTGTTTCAGATTTTTACATAATTATTTTGTGATGGTTCAACAAAATTATTTTCAAATCTATACCTAAATTCAGATCTGTAGTTAAATTTTTAGATACTTCAACCAAATTGGTTTTTCCATGTAGTGTTCTTAATTGAGTTCTTAATTGAGAAAATCAGTTAAAAGTTGAGAAGTGCTTTTGCGTGCAGCAGAATATTTATTTTTCAACCATTGAAAATTTTCTTCGCTGAAATAGAACTGTTCTCTAGATTTAAAAGTATAATCGCGAATAAAACTTTCAACAGTTATAAAATAAACGTTCTATTGAATATAGTACATTCTTCATTCTATTAAAATTGCAATAAGGCTAAATGAGAAAAGAGAGAAATCAAAGATCATTTTACTTTTGCTTGTTCATAGTTTCGAAGTCGCCAAGTATATATCTGAGGATAGCTATGGCCTTGTGTTCGGCGTAAATACATTCTTCGCGTTATTAACGCAAAGTTTGCTGACGCTCGTGATCATTAATACACTTATGCTAAATATTAGGCAGCAGGTAAGATGATATGCTGAAAATGCTTCGAGATTGGATGTTGGATCCCTTCGAAT